GCAGACCCACCCTTTCAATTCCAAATTCCTAGGAACAGAATTTGCTTGGAATGTCCAATGGAACAAGCATGGTTCTGTTACAAGCTGGTCTTAGATTGGAGTATGGGAGGGGAAAAGATAGTGCAGTTACCAGAAGCTTCTAGTGAGATGACATTTCAAGGGATGTCGGTTGGTCTTGCTACCTTTTTAGGATTACCTTTAAGGATTTGGCACTGACTAAATCAGGATCCCTGTATCACCATACACTAGGAGTGCAGTTTAGGCAAATCACTTACACACTCTGGGCTTCCATTTCTTCATCTGTAAAATGGAGACGATAATATCCATTTCATAGGGTGATTTACATTAAGGTCTATGATCCATATAATTATACCTTGGTATAGCCTGAGACTGAAACTTTTATTTATAGTGAAGCTAGAATTGACCATAAATCTTTTCATTTTCTTTCCAGAATAATGACAGTGAAGAGGACATGTTTGGTGACTATGATAGCTTTGCTGAAAACTCTTTTTTAGCTCACGTTGATGACCTGGAACAATATATGCAGCTTCCTGAACATAGGAGACATGCCTCAGACCTTGCCACTGACGATCTTTGTTCAGAAAGCGACAAACACAACAAACTCAGCGTTACTACCATAGACAACTTTACTGAATTAAAAATGGATGAGCACACAAAGAACCAGAGTAGGCAGGAAGATGTCTGTATTGAACCTGAACCTGATCTTTTGTATGATATACCTTCCTCCCAGGTTTTATACTTTGAAAATTCTTCAAATGATTTGGGCGATCAGTCTACCAAAGAGAGGGATTGCAATTCCTCCTCCCACAAGACTGTGAATGAGGAATTACCCCAGAATAGCATAGAACAACACCAGCAAACTGATGATCCCTCTTCTAAAGTCAGAACTAGCTCAGAGGAGAATAGAAGAAAAAGTCTTAAAGAACATCTAAAAAGTGCCATGACTGGAAATGCCAAGGCCCAAACACCAATATTTTCTAAGACTAAACAACTCAAAGAGACTCTCCTATCTGAGGAGATTAATGTTGCCAAGAAAACAATTGAGTCATCATCAGATGACCTTGGTCCTTTTTATTCATTACCCAGCAAAGTGAGAGACCTTTATGTTCAGTTCAAGGGAATTGGAAAATTATATGGTAATGCTTTTTGCTGAAATGAAAAAACATTTACCATAATTACCATAATACTTGTGCAAATCAGTAGAAAGCAGATGCTCCCGTGGTCACATATCTCATCTTCAGATGAATCAAAATATCAGTTCTCTCAAGCCTTCCATTCCTATCCTGCTGCTACTGAACCTCTTCCCTTCATGGTCACACTTCTCAAATCTGTTATCTTTGCTGTCTTCCTTTCCTCACCTCACAATTCTCAGCCCACTCCAACTCTGGGTTCTGTGCTCTCACTTGAGATATGACTAGGGTGTCTAAATCCAATACTTTTAGTTCTTTCTAACTTCTTAGTAGCTTACCAGACACAATTAACCAGACCCTTGAAACACGGACTTCTTGACTTCTTGACATTCCACTCCTGTTTTTATCTCTGATCGTCTAGTTGCTTCTCAGTTTTCTTAGCTGGTGTTTCCTTGGCTGGCTCTGTCTTCTCTACCAAAACTTGAAATTCCTTTTACTACTCATGTCTTGAGTGACAGCATCAATATTAGTAATACCACTGATTAAAACGAAACATCTCTGAAGACAGCTGAAGTTGAGTTAAGTGCAAAGAGATAGTATTAATAACAATAAATGTTGTAGTCTTTTTCAAAAATCCTGGGTCTTTGCATATATTTCAGATATGTGCCACTTTAGACAAAGAAGGGACGGTTGCTGCCATCCTCAAAAGATGAGCCTATCAACCAATCACTTCATAAGTGTTTCTGAAACTCCTGTGTTAGTACCTTACGAACCATATGAAAACACGGTTCTCATCTCAGGGAGAAGACAACCAGGTGGAGAAAGGACACAAAGTCTAATGTAAGACTAAAAGGGTCTAATAAATTCTAAATTGTGAGGTTTGCAGTTAAAGAGCTAAAGGTGTGTATTGCCCTTGAAGCAGGTGTTCACTTTCTTCCCTCTGCTTTTGTCCTACCTCCTTGTTCTTTGTTTAATCCGCATCTTCTGCCAGAGCGAGTTCTCTGAGGACAGGGCTATCTCTGACTCCTCTTTTTCTTAATTAACTACCGCTGTGCCTGGTAGGCTCCGGTTGGTTCTCAACTGCTGGGGCTTGTCAGCCTAGTTGTGAATTCTGATCCTGTCACTTAAACACAAGTTTTGCACTCTGAGCCTTAGTTCCTGGTCTATTAAAAAGTAAGTAACAATCGTGGTTGTTTTGCAAGCTATGTTCTGCGTCAAGGACATGCGAAATGAGACTTGGGTAATGACTGTCAATCGTTATGTTGGTAGCTTCTGAGTAAGAACTTGAGTAAATAACAAGTTTTTAAAGCTCTCTTTGCTTATCAATCTGGTTCGATGACATGACCAATTTAAAGCATAAATAAGTGTGTCACTTCTCATTGGGCTAAAGTAGTGGTTTTGAAAGTGTAATTGTTGGACAGCAGCAGCAGCAGCACCTGGAAACTCATTGAAGTAAGTATTCTCAAGCTCCACTCTAGACCTACTGAATCAACCTCTGGGGGTGTGACCTGGCAATTGGCTTTAACAAGCCCTCCAGTGGATCCTGGTGTGCCAAAAGTTAGAACCACTGAGCTTGAGAACCTCAACCTTACACTGTTATTATTTTTTTGCCTTTTTATCATAGAATTGCATGCTTAATGGGTTTTCCATAAATGTTGAGAACTAAGTTAATCATTTTTTAATGGGTGAAGATAAGTGATATTGCTAAGTATTTGTTATTTTGGTCATTTTATACTTTAAAAAAATCTGAGTTGGATGAAAAGCGGATATGGTCAACTTGTATTTTTGCACAGATACCTACAGTTTCATATATAATGGGTAATACCAGCCTGAAATATTTTTAATATGTCAGTATTAAATATTAAACATAAGTACTTAAGTATTTTTGAAATATTTTTATTCTTAAATGTTTATTTATTTATTTTGGTGGGGAGAAGGGAGGGAGGAAGGGGAGAAGGGAGGGATAGACAGGAAAAGGGAGACAGAATCCCAAGCAGGCTCCATGCTGTTGGCACAGACATGGGGCTTGAACTCATGAACCGTGAGATCATGACCTGACCCAAAATCAAGAGTCAGACACTTAACTGACTGAGCCACCCACGTCCCCCTTTTGAAATATTTGTAAAGTGAAAAGAAGTCATTTGCAAACATTTGGGAATCACCAAAATGTAAGAAATTAGTCATTTGGCTGTTATTCAGATGTAACTTTTTAAAGCTTTGCAATATATCCTATTAGTAGTCACCTTTTTTTATTTAACTTTTTTTGGAAAATGTAATACATTCAAGTACAACTTTTCTATGTATATATTATTTTCTAATAATCTGTACATAATTGGTTAGTTACAGTCTAACACACATTTATAATCTTTCATTATATATTGAGCATGTATAAATCAGTCTACCACCTGCTTTCAGGCTGTAAAGAATATCATATGATTGCAATAATTTATCCAACCTTTACCCTTTGATGGCTCTTTGTTTTATATAAGTAATGCTATGATGAACATCTTGCACATAATCTTGTTTTTATTTCTATAGGTGTAGAGACCTAGAAGCAATACTACTAGACCAAAGACAGTGTGTAGGGTTGTTGTTGTTGTTGTTTTTTAATTTATTTATTTATTTTGGAGAGGGGAGGGACAGAGAGAGGGAGAGAGAGTATCCCAAGAAGGCTCTATACTATCAGCACAGAGCCTGATGCAGGGCTTGATCCTACGAACCGTGAGATCATGACCTGAGCCAAAATCAAGAGTTGGACACTTGACTGAGGCCCCCAGGCACCCCTAAAAAGATTATAGTATTTTATGCTCTCATCAGCCACACATAAGAATGTCTCCTTGTCCCCAGTCAGCTCCAGAATTTCTATATGTGGGGCTATTTATTTTTAGTAGTTACTTGTATTTTATTTTGCCAACCGAGTAGGTAACAGTTGAGCATCTTTTCACGTATATATTAGCCATTCATATTTCTTCCTGCTGTGAAATGTCTTATCATATCCTTTGCCCATTTTCCTAGTGATAAAGTACTGATGCACATTTTGAAGACTTTTGATGGTCCACATTGTCAGATTATCCTTGAGAGTAGTTACTCTAGTTTTCAAAACTCTAGTTTTGTTTTGGATCTGATTTGGTCCTTTTAGTGAATTCCACCTTGCTACATTGTGGAATTCCTAGATGTGCCGGTTAAGAATCCTAGTCCTGTGGTTTCAATATTCTTACAGCTCAAAATGGTATTCAGGCCAGAGTTCAGCTCCCCATAATAGCCGGTTGAATAGTCTTTCTAACCATGTATAAAACCTCATGGGATTTTTTTCCCCCTCCGTCCCCTGTTTCTCTCTAGGATGTTGTGTGGGTAGATGAGCAATCTCCTTGCAGAGCATAAGAGCGAAGCATTAGAATTCACACAGATCTTTGTACTGTCCTTTAGCTCCTCTGATGGCTCAGGTGATACCCGAGATCACTACCTGCTCTGTTAGAATCTTACACCTAAGTGTGCAGCTGGCGAATAGGTGGCCTAGTCACCCACTTCTTTGCCCAGGCCTGAATTAGAATTAGACTCTCACTGGCTTGCCCATCGAGGACTAGGGATGTTTGACATTTAACAAGTATGTATAATTATACTTATTATTATGAGGAGATTGATACACAGAATGGAATTTGGTTTTTCCTTCTTAGAAAACTTTCTTAAGACTGAATTGTAGAAGGGGAAAGGAATGCTTTCTTTTTTTTTTTAATTCTGTAGAATGGCAACATACTTGCTTAACACTGAATTCTGTGCAAGAAAGAAAAAACTTAATATATTCCTTGCCAACGAGTGGTGGAAAAACCCTTGTGGCTGAGATTTTAATGCTGCAAGAACTGCTTTGCCGGCGGAGAGATGTTCTAATGATCCTACCATATGTGGCAATTGTCCAAGAAAAGGTGCGATTTTTTTTTTTAACAAGCAGTATTTGTTAACATTTTCATACTAAGATAGAAAAGGTACCATAAATGTAACAACTATTTTTTTAAAGTGTATTTATTTATTTTTGAGAGAGAGAGGGAGAGGGAGAACAGACAGGTGAGGGGCAGAGAGAGAGAGAAAGAGGGAGACACAGAATCCTAAGCAGGCTCCAGGCTCCAGGCTCCAAGCTGTCAGCACAGAGCTCAGTGCAGGGCTTGAACTCACAAACCATGAGATCATGGCCTGAGCTGAAGTTGGACACTTAACCAACTGAGCCACCCAGGCATTCCTGTAACAACTTTTTATTGACTAAGAAGAGGTACTTCTATTAATGATGGAGAATTAATATTTTGGGGATGTGCAAAGCAGTATGTAGAACCTACCAAAAGTCTTTTCTAATACTAATTGCCTCTTAAAAGAAGAATTTTATTTTTTTGTAAACTGGTGGATTAAATTCCATTTTAAAAATTCCGTTGAGGGGCTCCTGGGTGGCTCAGTCGGTTAAGCAAATGACTTCAGCTCAGGTCATGATCTCACAGTTTGTGGGTTCGAGCCCCACATCGGGCTCAATACTGACAGCTCAGAACCTGGAGCCTGCTTTGGATTCTGTGTCTCCCTCTCTCTCTGCCCCTCCCCATCTTGTGCTCTGTCTCTCAAAAATAAATAAATATTTTAAAAAAATGTTTTTTACGTTCTATTGCTGTTTAGCCTGCCTCTTCAAGCAGAAAGTAATCGATTATTTTATCAAAATAAGTGAGTTATGCTGATTTTTTTTACATCAAGAGGAAACATTTGAAATTTATTTTCACATTGATTATGTAATGTAAAAGTTGCATTCATTTTGCAAAGAGCCACACGTGAATTACGACATTTCTTAGATATATGTGTCTTGTCTGTGACTTTGTTCTCATTCATTGGTATTATGTACTATTTTAGATTTTAAAAAAATAGACATGAGCTCTTAATAATTGAGTTAATTATCTAATTTTTTGCTTATTTTAACTGATATTCTAGATTTCAGGTTTGTCAAGTTTTGGTATAGAACTGGGTTTCTTTGTTGAAGAATATGCTGGAAGCAAAGGAAAGTTTCCCCCAATTAAAAGAAGGGAAAAAAAATCTCTCTATATTGCCACTATTGAAAAAGGACATAGTCTGGTGAACTCCTTGATTGAAACCGGAAGGATTGGCAGTCTGGGTCTGGTTGTTGTAGATGAGGTTAGTAACTGCTTTTATAGTTTATCATTTTATGAATAATTGTTGAATAATTATATTTTATTGCTAATTAATTAATATCAACATGTATTATTATGTGGGTCCACTTAGTACCTCTATGAGGATAAGTAATTTATTTTAATATGTAGACAATACAGATGAATACATTTCATGCTTAGTAATCTTAAATTCGGTTTTATGTTATGTTTTTTGAAGAGTGAATATATGTGTATGTGTATATTCAATTTTATAATGATGCTTATCAATTTCCAGGTGTGTCAGGATGTTGCCCCCAAGCCTCATTAACATAAAATATCAGTGGTACAATGCATGTGTACTCTAATTGCTATATCCAAAATGCTTAAGAATTCTAAAGCAAAGATTACTTGATTTCATATAAATACATGCGTGTTCTATGTAGGCATATGCAAATTTACTTTTCTCCCATTTTTTTTTAAATCTCAAAGTTACACATGATTGGTGAAGGAAGCCGTGGGGCTATATTGGAAATGACCCTAGCAAAAGTCCTCTACACTAGCAGTAAGTATTTTTTCAAATAGAATTGATTTATACTCAGGAAGCCTGTGAAAGACTTGTGTCATTAGTTAGATTATGTAACAGAATAAGATACTCAAGCATTCTGCATTAGCTTTTTACTTCTTTCCTTTTTTTTTTTTTTTTTTTTTTTTTTAAATTTTTTTTTTTTTCAACGTTTATTTATTTTTGGGACAGAGAGAGACAGAGCATGAACGGGGGAGGGGCAGAGAGAGAGGGAGACACAGAATCAGAAACAGGCTCCAGGCTCTGAGCCATCAGCCCAGAGCCCGACGCGGGGCTCGAACTCACGGACCGCGAGATCGTGACCTGGCTGAAGTCGGACGCTCAACCGACTGCGCCACCCAGGCGCCCCGTTCTTTCCTTTTTTTTTAAGTTTTTCATTCTGCATTAGTTTTACTTCTTTCTTTTTTCTAAATCTACTTATTTTGAGAGAAAGAAAGAGAGAATGAGAATGAGTGGGGGAGGGGCAGAGAGACAGGGAGAGAGAGAATCCCAAGCAGGCTTCGCTCTGTCAGCAGGCCCAACGCAGGCCCGAACCCACGAACCGTGATATCATGACCTGAGTCGAAATCAAGAGTCAGATGCTCAACCAACTAAGCCACCCAGGCGCCCCTTAGATTTTTTTACTTCTAAAGTAAACTTAATAAACTTTTGTTGGAGGAAACGGTATATGAGTAGAGCTGTGAATATGAAGGAAATTAACGTTTGAGGACATCTTGTTCCACTTACTAGTTGTGTGTACTTAGTCGTGTGACTCAACCTATTTCTTCATCTGTAAAATGGGGATAATGGTTCCACCCTGATGGGATCGTTGTGAAGATTATATGAGTTAACCAGGTAAAGCATTCAACAATTACCTAGCACATAGCACTTGATAAACGTTTGTTGTTGCCACCACCATCAGTATCCTCATCATCAGACCAGTGAATGTAAGTAGTCACTTTAAGGAGCTATTTGCAACATCAAATAGTCTTTCAATGTATATGAAATATTTATTCTAAATGTCTTCTTTCCTATTCATAGATGTGCTGTTGCAATGACTTATTAAATTATATATTGCAAGAGCTAATATATGGAAAAGTGATTAATTATAAAGGTCAAATATTAAGAATTATTTTACAATTTTTGATAGCAATATTATTTAGGCAGGTTGCAGCACTTTATAATCATTCGTTAAAAACAATTACTGAGTTCCTACTTTGTGCCAGACACTATTTTAAGTGCTAAGGCTCTAGCAGTGAATAACACAGAGTCCCAGCCTTCACTGAACCTGTTTTAGTGAAAGTGAGCAGACAGTCAACGGATAAAGAAGAAAACATATGGCGTATCAGATGGTGACAAATTCCATGGAAAAATATAAAGCAGAGGAAGAGAGACAAATCGTCACCTGCTTGTCAAATCCAGTGCATACTGACTGTCCTTGTCTTATTTTTCTTCAGCATTTGGTTGTTTATCATTCCTTTTTCTTTTAGGTGCTGAAACATTCTCTCTTGATTTCCCTACTGTCTGTCTGTATAGGGGATCATGTGTTACCACATGGCCGAGGACAGACTCTAGAGCTGGAATAAAATCCTGACTCACTTTTAACGACACATGTGCAAGTTATATTGAGCAAGTTATATTAACTGTGCCTCTGTTTCCTTATGCACCAAAAATAGTTGATAATGGGATGGGTGAAATAAGTGAAGGTACAAACTTTACAGTTATAAACAAGTCATGAGGTTGAAAAGTACAGCATAGGGAAGATAGTCCATGATAATGACAGATGGTAGCTACACTTACCGTGGTGAACATTGTATAATGTACTGAATTGTCGATCACTGTGTTATACACCTGAGACTAATATAACACTGTATGTCAGCTATATTTCAATGATAAAAAAATTTTTAAAAATGGGTGATAGTCATAAAACCTGCCTAACGGAGTTGCTTTCCTATGGCAAGCAGCCATTTTATACTGCCCAGGACATGCAGCCACATGAGTGTCACTCCACCTTTATTTAAAAAAAAAAAAAAAAAA